AAACCCGTTATAGTGAGACTTGTTCCACTAAATGACAGCTCATTTTAATTAAAAGCGCCCATTCAAAATGCAACGGAAAACGAAAAAGTCGAACAAAAATGTGCGGTAAACCGACGTTGAGTGCACTGAGCAAGAGAGAGAGAGAGGGAGTGAGACGACAATTGAAGGCGCCAACGAAACGCAGCAATTTCATAATGCAGTTATTAGTCTGAGAGAGCGGAGAGTGTGAGAGCATGAGAGCAACAAGTTCGAAAAGCTCTCTGGCCGGCTGGCTACGCACGCTGGCAACGCTAGCAGCAGTGTTCGAAAGTGCTGCGCAGCTCTAGCAGTTTGTTGTGTGTGTGTTTTAGTTTTATTGTTGTTTGAGGTAGGCAGCCAAAGCCCTAACACAAACAAGTTTGGCCTGCCTGCTGCGCTCTCACGCTCACTGTCTCTTTCGCTCGCTCTCTCTTGCTTTGTTGCTGCTCACACCCTGTGCGATATTTGTGCTTTTCATTCAATTTTCGTTTCAGTTGTGTTCGTTGCTTCCGCGCGTGCAAAAGCTAAAAAATTTAGTGAGGGAAACAGAAAAAAAAACCTGAAACAAAACACGCGCGCATAACGAAACGCACGCGATTTCCGTGCGGCTTTAAACGCTGCGATCTTTTAGTGTTCTTATTTTTATTCCGAAAAAAGTGTGAAAATTTGTGCGTCGTTTATAAAATGAGTTTTTCTTGATAAATGCGAATAGAGTAGACGGCAAAAATAAAAACAGAAATTAACATAAACACATATAATATATGAGCTAAGGTAATAAAAGAAACGAAACATTAAAATATGTTAAAAACTATAAAGAAAAGACATTAAGGCGCACGCGTTGTTGTTGTTTACAGTAAGAAATCTCTGACGTTTGTTCTTGTTGCCTGTTAGATCGAGCTGTGCTGTTTCTGATTAGTGTGTGTGTGTGTGTAGGAAATGCCTTGCCATTGGCAAAACACAAATGTATCTCACAGATACTTTTGTTTTCGTGTGTTTGTGCTTCATGCTCGATTGCTTCGATTATGCTTTGATTGCACACTCACACATACGCACACAATGTGAGAGTCATTAGATTTATATACTATTTGGCACTTTTATCTTTTGTACTAACCGAACCAGAAACCGAACCCGCTGGCATGCTGCCAAACACGCTGACGTCTCAGTTGATTGCCGAACCGGTTTTATGCTATTTTATTAATATTTACTTTGTTGTTTGAATCAACTAGAGAGACTGACGATGCATGGCAACTGTTTAATATTTTCCCCCCATTATCACACACGCACACACACAAAAATTGATCTGCAGTTGACCCAGTCAGAATCCATGTCAAGTTCCTAACTGCGTCATTTGGCTTAAGGGTTGCTTTCGCCGAACAACCCTCTAGCCATAGTCGCTTTATAGCATTCTAGCATAAATTATGGCAGCATATACCGTTTCTTGGTTTTCACTTTTGGCAAACACCCACGCTTTGGCTTAGCTAAATGCAATGTCTAATTGCGAGTGCATTCAAAATTAATCTACGGCTAATGAGACACAATTTGATGGCAGTTGTGGCTGCTAATTGGCAAAGATAGCCAACATAGATAGACTGCAGCTGTTTGCTGCACTTGGTTTGCCACAGCGATGACAATGGCAATGACCTTGAACCTGTGCACATGCGATTTGCCATCACTGTTCAGCCAGCTAACATACACACACACACACATACATAAAACGGGGCGTATGCGCAATGTTAGTATTCTAACAGATTTCGAGGTGCATAGTGCGAGTAATTTGAATGTGTTGAATTGTTTTAGCAACAGTTTCAGCTACAGTTGTTGTTGTTGTTGTTGTTGGCCCTTTGCTGGAGCGGAAATGCCAAGGCGAGTCATAGGCTGTCATAGAAATTGCATTTCAGGTGTTGACTGTGTGCGAGAGCTCTTAAAATGCCATTCATTTAATTTAATAATCACAAATTAGAGGAGGTTTAAGTGCTGTGTAATGGCTAAATATATATAGAGAAAAGCTCAAGAGTTTAAGGAGTCAAATAAGTTTCTCGGCTGAAAATGAAATAAATGTTGCCTATGGAAATAGATTAAATAATAATAATACAAATTTAAGCTTCATAATAAGTGAAATAATGATAAAATAAAAATAAATTAAAGTAATAATAATAATTAATAAAACAATAATAATTGTTAAGCAATTAATAATAATTAAAAGTACAAAAATAAATTATAGAAAATAAATATGAAATAAATAATGATTGTTAAATACAAAATAAATATTTTAAAATGTCATAAACGGTATATAAAATAAGCATATTAAAAGTATCAAATATTAATTTTAAAAAAATTTCTAAACTACATTCTTTTGAGTTATCTATATAACATTTTGCCTTAAGCGCATAAAACATTTCTGTGGCTTAATTTACGATGTGAACAAAAGCTGTACGTCTTTTTTATTATTTCGTAAAGCAGGCAAATTAACAAAGCTGAAGTTTAGTGAGTGTTTTCAGACAATAAAACGAGACGTAGCTATTAAAAGAGAGTTAATTAGAACTAGAGAAGTGAGCCAAGTTGAGTGTACTTAGAGCTAGAACTATGTACTATTGCTGTAGCTTCTGATTTAGTGATATTTCTAGCTAAAGTCCACTCTACCTCGAATTAACTAGCTTTAGCTGTATCTCTCCCTTAATCAGCAGTTCTAGATATTTCCTAGTTTATTGAAATCTTATATAAAGTCTGTTGCCAAGCCAAACAGCTTATGAGTTCCATATATAGTTCTAAAATCGTCCAAGAGAAACGCGCATTCCGCATTGTCTATTTCGCAAGTTTGCTTAATATTTTCGCACAGACGCCCACTTTTGGCGGCCACTGTCACCTGCTGCTGCCCACACACACACATCTCGTTTGAGCCCCAACTAGGGCTGCTGCATTTTGTTGTTATATTTGTTTTAGCTCCGCCCACGCGTTTTGCATTTGCAGCTGAAATGGCGTCTAGAACAATAAACGTGGCTCATACGCCCGGCCAACAGACAATGCTGGCTCATTCATGTTGGTGGGCGGCTAGAGGTGAGGATGGGGCGTGATGTGGCCTAGCCTGGCCTGGCCAGGCTTGGCTAATTAAACAATAATAAAACGCAAATAAAACATTAAAACATTTTATGGCTCAGCCCAAAAGCGAAAAAAAAAAAACAACAATTGTCACGCATACATTAAAAATCACTCAAGCGTTGTCTCGTGTGCCATTTTTGTTTGTTTTCTGCTTAATTTTATTTGAATTTTTGTGTTGTTATTTAATTTATGTCTTTTATTTTGCTTGCTGCTTTGCAAAAATGCGGGCAGCACGCCCCGTTCCGCCCCTCAGCTCAACTCCCATCGCATTTCATTAAATTCGCATAAAAACCACATCAAAATCTTTAGCTGTTTTTTTTTTTTTTCGGTGTCACGTTTTTTATGTTAATTGATAAACATTTTATTATAATTTTTTAAGCTTTTTTAAATGATATTCTAAGCTCAAATTGACATTAAAGCCTTGAATTTTTTTAGTATTTTTTTTATTTTTTTTTTAATTTTAAAGTGGAAATTTACAGCATTGGTAATAAAATTTATAAAAAGTGAAAACGTTGTATAAGAGTGTAAGCGTATAAGAGTTTAAACAGCTTATGGCAATTTAATGGAATTTTGTTAATAAAGATCTCACTTAATCAAATTTATGCAAATTATTTTTAACTTGAAGCGACAGTGGAATTTTGTAATTAATTTTGTTTTTAGCTGATTTGTCAAGCGAAATAATAATAATGCTGATAATACCAGTAGCCGAGGCAAAAACCAACTGAGTGGATAGAATAATTAACCATTTTTTTTTGTATAAACAAATTAATAACTCTTAAGAAGTTTGTAAACTGTCAGCAAAGCTGAGCAAACGACTTGGTCGAGAGATCTTCAAACACGAAAATGTTGTTCAACGAATTCGTGGAATTCGAACTCGAATCGGAATCGAACGAAATTTATGCATGCATAATGAACAGTTAAGTCAACAGCGGCGGGAGGCAGCTGGGCGTATGGCAGTCAAAACAAACAATTAAAAAGCGCATAAAAATACCAAAAAGAAGAAAAGGCCGACCGCAAATTTGTGTCACGTGTGAGAAGACAAAGGTTCAAGAAACTTTTCATTAGTTTGGCATGCAAAGTGCGCCCAGCCAAGGGACGAAGGTTAGCTTAATTAACTTTCAGGTGCTGCTCCAAGCAGGCGCCACCGTCGGGCATGGGCCATGAGCGAATCGCGTGTCGCAGTTAGGTCAAACTGCCGCACCCAATGCACACACACACACTCACACACACTGCGCTATGTGTGCCGTGAAATATGGAGCGCGCGTGGCATGCCACCATCAGAAGCCAAGGAGGAATGTAAAAAGCCAGCCGGCTGCATGACGCTGCGACCGCCCGCCGTTATTAGCACAAATCCGGCCAAAATCAATAAAAAGCGCAAACACTTAAGCCATGCTCAGACATGGCCAACAAAAAAAAAAAAAAAAACGAAAATTAACAAATGAATCACTGGCGAATTTTAAAGATTTTATAGAGTATATACATACATACATATGTATGAATGTACATGTATGAAACTGCTTTCCAGGAACTAGTCAGATATTTGCTTAAATATGTTTAAATAAACGTTATAAAGTCAAGAAGATGGCGTCAAACTGTGCGCGCTTACTGTTTGACAAGCACTGACGACTCATACCAAATGACCACGAAACTGCGCTCTCTCACTGTTTGACAAGCACTGACAACTCATTTAACCTTCTCTGCAGTCTCCCAAAGAAATGCTTATGCGCTGTTTAAAGCAATTACATGTATTTTATTACATTGATTGTGTTGTCCTATCGCTATATACATATATCAACGAAATATATCAAATACAAATACTGATACATATATATAAAACACAAATAAACATTTGTCAATTCAATAATAATAATAATAATAAATAAACATAAGAGGTAATTAACCAAGAGGTTGTGCATATATCACATAAGTAGAAAGGAACGAGACACACGCACACACATACACATAGTTACAATCATACGCATAGAAAATATATAAAAACAAGTCAGGTCAGCAATAAAATAGTACATAATGACGCTTGTATATAGGACTATATAGAAATACAAATATATATATAGGTATATATCACACACACTCTATATGAACTAACACACATACACGCAAACACATACATATACAATTGTGTGTCTATGTCTTGATCTTGCGACCCAGTTTGGTAACCGCATATTTGTTGCTCTCTCGACTGCCGGAGCCGCTGCCCTGGGAGCTGCTATGATGGGCCTTGTTGCGCTTGCCAATGCCGTTGCTCTTGGAGCGGGTCTCGAAGAGCACATCCGAATCCGTTTCCGATTCGGTGAGCGATGTATTGCGTGAATCTGTGAAAAGTGCCATTACTTAATATATATCTCTCTCGTAACAATATGTTTTTTACTGTTACTTACAATTGGCCGCCTCTTCGTCCTGCGTGCCTATTAGCGCATACTTTTGCACCTTTTGGCGCATGCTGCGTGGCTTTTTGGTTTGCCGACAGGCGCAGGCAATGCCCCAGAAGATGCCCGAGAGCAACAGGCAGGTCGAAATGACGCCGACGAACACATACAGAATGGACCAATCTGGAAAAGCAAAGATTGACTTAGTTCACATTCGAGAGAGCATAAGAGTTATTTGTTTAGCTACCGCAATTGGCCTCATCGTTGCCAAAGAAGAAGCCCGCCGAGGGCATCCAGAAGGCCTCGCAAACGCACGCTCTCGTCGAGGGATTGCATCGGCCATGGCCCGAGCAATTGTTCTGACAGACTGTGGTGCGTATGTCCACATAGAGTGCGCCCAGTATGGAGGCATCCTTTTGCAGCTTGACGCGCAGCATTTGCTCCACGTGCAGCCCATTCACAGGCGTTGATTGTCCACCCTTCGCATCGCTGGCCATCACAAAGAAGACCAGCACCGCCGCCTCAGTGTGCAGATCCTGCTTCAGCTCCCTGATGTGTAACTTATTATCGTCGCCCAACAGCAGTTGCAGCTTCTGCACAGTGGAGTCCAGCTCGCTCTTGGTCAGAACGGATAAGCTCATGGGTAGCGTCATTTGCACCAGGTACATTAGCATAGGATCCGCATGGACATTAATGCTGACTGTGTCCGTGCTGGTCAAGCCCTGATCGTCGCTCACCGTCAGCTTGAAGACGTAGCGCCCTTGCACCACATTGGTGAGCTGCAATGGGTAATGGGTACATCAATAGCAACTGATCTCTGATTTAGCTCGTTTGTGCTTTGGTCTTACAATCATTACTGGCTGCTTGTCCGTGTTGTCAATGATGACGCCGGCTGCTTGGCTCGTATCCTCACGTGTCCACACATACTTGACCACAGCCAAATCATCCGATGACTGCGAGCCATTCAAGTAGATCGCTGTGATGGGCAGAGTTATGGTCCGATCTCCGCCAGCATTGGCAATGGGCGCTGCATTGCGTTCTATGAATGAATTTTGAGATTAGTCTTGATTTAATTGAATCGGTGATGAGTCGAATACCCTGCACAATCTTCACCCAGGTGCTGTCCGTAGCCGTGTTGTTGTTCTCATCCGCTACGCTTAGCTCGAACTCATAAAGCCCAAGCGTTAGGCTGGTCGCGTTGGCAATCTAGTGAAGAGGCAAGAGATGTTAAGGAGAGATTAGATTAGATTAGGTGCTCTATATATATATATATACTTACGGAGGTATTCGACTTGAGTATGACGGCGTTGTTGGGTCCGCTGAGCTGCTTCCATTGATAGCTTTTGATGCCAATGTCGTCTTTCGACTCGGAACCATTCAGAATGGCCCAATTGACGGGCAGGCTAGTCGTCTGAGAATAGGTTTATATAAAGCAATGTAGTTTAAGAGATAACAAACTAATTCCCAGCTTACCACATTGGCGCCCGCTTTGGCTGTGGGCGGGGAGTTGGTGGGCGGCTTGACAAAGACGTGCACCTTGGCGGTGCTCGACTGCTTGCTGCTGTCGGTGACCTTCAGGACGAACGTGTACATGCCCTCCTCGAGATTGGAGAGGTGCACGTAGGGCGTTCTTGTGTACTGCATGTCCACGGCCTTTGCCTCGTCGCTCGCATCTTTTGTCCACTCCCACTCAACGATTTCGTGATCATCGGAACTGGCGGTGCCATTGAGGGTTACATTATTGTTCGGCAAATACAAGATGACCGCATCTCCGGCATTGGCCACCGGCGCATAGTCCGTCTCCTTCAGCACCGCTATGGTGGCCGTCGTTGAGTTGGTGACATTATTCGAGTCCGTCACAGTCAGCTTGAAGGTGTAGTTGCCCGGCGAAGTGAGATCAAGCTGCAGCGTGTTCACCTCCGGCAGCTGCGGCTGATAGCCAATGGGTCCCGAGACGACCTCCCAGTGCCAGTTGATGATCTTGTCGTCGTCGGTGCTGGTGCTGCCATCCAGCACAGCATTGGACGTGGGTTGGCGTATGATTTGCTCTGGCGGCGAGATAATTACCTGTGGCGCCTGGTTGATGCGTCGCTCCGGCAACACGGTCACATTGGCAGTTGCTTCGCCAAAGGCGCCTCCCTCGCCGGTGACGGTCACCTTGAACGTGTACAGACCCTCGGATAGATTCGATAGCTTCACCTTTGATTTGCTCTGATCCGAAATGGTGCCGTTCATGGGTCCCTTAGGCTGCGATATGAGGGTCCACAGATATTTGTATTTCGAGCCGGTCGTCTGCTCGTCGGGCACGGTGAAGGCGGCCAGCGTTACCTCCTGCTCAGGCAGTTGCACCTCCTTGGACATGACAGAGACCGTGATCTTGTTGATTTCCTGCTTCATGGGCGATGGCGCCACGACCTCGGGCACAATCTCGCTGGCCGCTGCGGCCACTTCTTGGGCCATTCGCGAAGACGCTTCACTGGGCAAATAGGCGCTATAGGGCACTGCGGGCATCACACACTTGTGCTGCTTGTTGCGCATGAAGCCGTGCTTGCAGTTGCACAGCCCGGTGACGGCGTTCGCCTGCAGCGGCACGCACTGCTCCTGGGGCGGGCAGGGCGTGTCCAGGTCGCAGGTCATAAACTTGGCATTGTTGGGCAGCTCTGCGGCGCCATAGTAACTGAGATCGTCGTCGTTCTCGTCGGGCTGCTGCTGCAGCAGCAATTGCTTGACGCGCTTCTCCGCCATAGGGAACTCATCTTCGTCATAGGCGTTGCTGTCCTGTAAGATATTGGAGATTAGTTTGATGTATGTTTGCTCAAGTGGACTCGGGCGTGGCTCACCTGAAACTGCAGGCGACGCGGCTGCTTCCAAAAGTTCAGCTCCGATTCGTATGGCAAGATTTCGGCATTCTGCTTGGTGGCCTTCAGCAGCTGTGTCCAAGTCTCTGGCGAATCGCCCACCGGATTCACCAATACCATCTGCACCTTTTCGTTTTCCCGTTCCCGTGTCAGAGCCTTTGGCATGCAGGCCTCGTTGCTAATGCAATGAATGTGATAGCATTTGCGCTTAAAGACTAGGACCACGTTGCAGGTGTTGCGTTGGGTCTGATTTTGGATCTGGGACTTCTCGCAGCATGCCTCCAGGCAGCTCCACAGGTACGTCTCCTCGTCCAGCACCTGTCCCACCTCGGGCTTATATTCCTCGAACACGCCAGCCTGCTGTTCGTCCCGTGGTGTCGCATTCTCAAAAACATGGCGCAGCATGCGTGAGCAGATGGGCAACTGTTTACCGTTCGCTGCCAGCTCCTCTTTGCCCGCAACAGCAGCAGCGAGCAGCGCATTTTGCGTTGTTGTTGTGCCAGCAGCCCCCACTCCGCCAGCTGCTGCCGTCATGACGTCGGCTAATGCGTATGTTGCTGACGCCATGCAGAGCCACAGCCAGCAGCAAACCCAGCCACGTTGTCTATAGCCCGAGTTTTTCATTTCGTTGTTCTACGGCGTTAACAAACTGATTGCAATTAGATTATTGCCAATTTGTGCACTTTTTTCAGCCAATTTGCATAAATTAATACATTTTTGTAAAGAACTTGTGAAGGGCTCCAGCAGCCAGTGTGGCCAACGCGCGACGCTTAACTAACGAAAGAAAAGTCGATAGAAAAAATACCAATATATAGTATATACTTCAAACAGCTGTTTCGGTGGTTGCGATAGTGCTGTAAACGACCGTCGCGGCAATATACGTTAAAATTTGAAGCTTACGCTGGGCAAAAGCACACATTAAAGCGAAAAGCTCTGGCAGGCGGCTGGGGCAACTGTGCAGACAGTTAACGCGCTTGCTATTGCGTGCTTTGGCGTGTTGTTCAATAGTAGTTAACGAATAATAAAAACAAAAAGACGAATGAAAAATGAAATAAAATCGCAACGCCTCACAATATAACTTTGCGAATATTGATTTAAGAACGCAAATTGCAAAACAGGTCGCGGGCGCCCACACACACAAACAAGCACACCTAGAGAGAAACGAGGTGCCAGGTAGTTGGTAACCTAGGACTGTGGGACGTACGCCCACGCGTAAATGGAATTTTAATCGAAACGCTAAATCAAAACAATATTAATTATGTACATAAAGAACAGCAACTGCCAGCTTATAATTTATATATCATATATACCCAGATACCAAATCTAAGCAAAACGTTTTTTTTTTCATTATTTTTTTGTGTAAACAAAAAAGATATAGTAATTATAATAACAAAAGAGATATAAATCAATGCTTGAACTTAAAAAAATATATATACTCTTGTTGTTATTGTTGGTTTTGTGGGTTCGACGTATGTTTTAGTTGCCTACTCTGTTTTATCTAAAGCACATTGCTTACCAGGCAGGCCGCACGGCGCCACAGTTGGACAAGCACTGCCAAAAACAGTACAGAGTACGATACAGTTTGAGCTGCACGCACATAAACAATTTATCAATTTAAATGCCAATTCTGTTCAGCAAATAAAAAATGAAAGATATAAATATAAATCACGTTTGAATTTAAATCTCTTTGCCCACACGCGTTCAACTCATTTCTGTGAACATAAAACAGATTTGATTAGATGTTTGCCCATAGCGAAGCATTCAAGTGGCATTTGACTCATCTGGCAGATCTTTTGGCCATATAAGGCAAAGTTAGCCAAAGTCTGTGCAGTAGATAAGAGCGGCAGATGGCAGATGCAGCCCATTAGCTGTACGACTCTATAAATATCTGAATAATTTACTGATAAAATTCCATTTGCCTTTGCTTGCAGATGACAGACTTCTCGGATAGCTCACAGAGCGGCATGTTGAGTCCGGCGACGACGCTCATTGAAAGTTTCAACAAGAAGAGCGGCTCAGCCTCAACGACGCCGCTGCCCAGCTCCTCCTCAGCATCAGCCTCAGCCTCGGCCTCGGCCAGCAACATGCTGTGCAGCCCGGCCACGCTGAATGGAGTGGCAACGGTGAATGGTGGTGGGCCGCTGAGTGCTGGCAGCACCACAGTTTCCAGCCTGGGCGGACGACAGATCAATACGAGCTCCAGCTCTTGCAGTAGTCTTAAGGAAACCTCACATCAATCCACATCCACGTCGCAGCAGGTAAGGCGGATAAATAAATTTCAATATAGGACACATTACTCAAAAGGAAAAATGCCAAATGTTGAAATATGTTTACAGTTTTTTGTTATATGCTGATTCTGTTATACTGTCAATTATTACTAATATAAAAGAGCTTTAGTAGTAGCTGTAGTCAGATCTACTAAATGCATTCCAAGAACATTACGAACAGCGTTATCGATTTCTTAATAATTGATATAATTACGTATGTGATATTTATATAAAGCCCTGAGGTAGGGCATTTTTTCTATGCAGTCGCGTCTATTTTTAAACAATTACTTGAGCTTAGAGAATGTGAGACCTAAGTAGCTATAAAAATTCCTAGGCCCTAACTGAACTGATAACAATCATTCCCTTGGCCACAACACGTTTCAAGTTTCGTTTGTTCACTCGCCAAAGGTTAAAACAGTTCGATATGAAACGCGCTCTGATTAGATTATTGCAATTCTAATTGGCGTCGCAGCGGCTGCTGTACGAAAATCAATTACATACGGCGAATACCGAATACCGTGTTTGCTATATTTGGCATATTCGATTTTCTATTTGTTGCGCTGTGGACTGAGCAAAAGCTATAAAATTAATTGCCCATAGCCAGTATATAAACATTTACCCATTGTTATTGCTGTTGATATATTTTCTGTAAAACGTGCCGCTTGCCACAGCTTTTGTTTAAACATAAATTTCCCACCATGGAAATAGACTTTTGTTTTCGCTCAGATAAGATAGCCTTAACGGCATTTACATGCAACAGTTCCGTTTGGAGTTTATAATTTTTATCTATTCACAATTTCCGTCGTATGATAAGCAGTGCCATCAAAATACTTTGACATAGCCATTAGCAATACTATATGAGGGTATTATGAAACAATGTCCATACAAATACACTGCTTCTTATACTTATATTTTACTAGTTAAGCCCTTTTATAGAGTATTCACAAGTCGTCTCTGCTCAATCTATCACTTAATATTCTATTTATCAATTCATTGACACTTCGTATTGAATCACTTGCCTCTAAAATAGTCGCTTACAGGGCGTATTTTGACGCTGCCTTGGTCAAGTTTTTTGTTATTAATTAATGCGTCCATCAAATGTGTTGGGTTATCAAAGTGGGTGACAAATGCTGCGAGCTTTTAAATAGCTGCTTGTGTAATCATTGGGCATGCGTACAAAGCTCAACGTGCCTTCAATTTACCGTTCATTTGAGAACAAGTGTATTTGTATTTGTGACCGTCTCCCTCCCACCGAGTAGAATTTTATTTGCACTGTCTGCTCAGCCTCAATCAATGACTCACTTACCGGTAGATGTCGCTGCCAGCGACGCCGACGTCGACGTTGACGTCGACTCTTGATGTCGCGATGTCTTCGGATCGTCACGCGCGCCAATGGCTCGTGCTGTAGCTCTCTATCGAAAGGGGGTGAGAGGCAAAGAGGAAGAGTCAAAGAGAGAGAGAGAGAGAGAGAGAGATCTCGCTCAGCGTTTGTTTGCTGTGTTCTTTACAAGAGATAAGCGCAGCTTAAGCTTTTCATTGGCTGAGCTTTGATTTATGTACTGTATACAAGGGCAAACATCAATTTGTGTGCGCAAGCTCCCTTACTAAGTGCTTTCTGGGAAACAATATTCTTGGCCTATTAGCTGTTGGCCAATGCTTGACAAGTGAAATTCTAAAGAAATTGTTTTTATTTTAGAATTAGTTTCGCAGAAAATACAATGATGTGATAGTAAAATTGAAAAAATATATAAAATATAAACTTGGAAAATTACATAGATAATAATTAATACATATGTATATATAGCTACTGTATAAAAAAAAAAATATGACACATTGTCGATTGCGTAGTGTGTGATTAAGTCAACAAAGGATGGTTAAAATTAGGGATTAATAATTGCAAGTTATAAAAACACCTGATACAATTTTTAGATATTTTTAATAATTTTGACAAATTTGATATCAAATTGTCAGAAGCTAATGAACTTTATTTATGAGCAGTAAATGATATATGGCCCATATTTTATTAGTCACTTGGGAATTTCGAACTTTAGAATTTCAAAATCAGCCAGCTGATTAACACTAACAAAGATCCACAAAGTAATTATTAATATAAACACACAAAATAAAACAAACCACAAATCGCAGTAAGCTTACACACACACACACACACACACAACACACACGCATACAACACACATCACAAGCACTCTCACTCCTCTCTCTCTCCTCTCTGTGCTTACCGTTCAGTTGGTGTTAATGCAAAAGAGCAACACTAATCAAATAAGTCAACAGCGCATTTAGATGCTGTTAAGTGAGTGGGAAAGGGACACAGATACAATCTGAAAGCAGGCTTCATAAAAACTTAATAAAACCTTCAAGCCGAACGCGTTAATTAGAAAACCGTTTGGTCTTCGGTATTGGAAACGTGAGGCGCTGGGGCAGAATTATGGAAATGCACATACATATACACTGCATAAATTAGATAATAGATAAATATAAGCGACGCGTTCTTCTAGTGGTTATATTCGTTGGTGTTGTTGCTTTTACACAGTTGCCGGCGCGAATGTATTTACAATATGATTTCCTAGAATTCTGAGCGCTGAGCTCACGTCAACAACAACTTTTTGCTATTCGCAGTCTAGCCATCCCGCTTGCACCCACAGCCACAGTGATCACACACATTTTAAAATGACAATCGACGCCAGCGTCGACGCCGACAGCGTTAAAAGCTCTAGCCCGAGCCATAGCGCCCTCGCCAAGAAATTCTTGCTCATTTTACTTTAGTTAACGAAACGAACGAGAAGCGAGCGTCGCGCGCAAAAAAACATCGCAGGAACAGAAAAAAAACGTCGCAAAATCCTTTATTTTATTGAATTTTAGCCAAGCGTGCAATGGTTTTTTTCGTGTGACGGCAGCGCCTCATACATAATAAATATTTTTAAGCATAATTTGCAAATTAATTTACCAACGAATTTCGAACGACAAATAAAAACGAACAATTAAACGAACTCTCCCGTGTTATCAGTATTTTCTATACAAACGACAAAGAAAAAAAAAAACAACTACGAAGAACACAGTAACAATAAAGACGACAAACAGGGGAAGACAAAAAACCAGCCAACGATTATTTTTTGTTCTTCTTTCATTTTGGTGCTGTTTGAATGATTTGCGGCAAGCGTGAAAAATATTAACTCGAAAGCTCAGTTCAGTCTACGAAGCGTCTTGGCAGCGTGTGAACCGTACACAAAAGAGAATCTGCGTCGCTCTACTTAAAAAATCAAGTGGGTCTAAAGCCAACGACGAAACGAAATACACGAAAATAAATAAATATAAATATTAAAAATATTTGCACATCAATCTTTGCATAGTGCGCGTGCAAAACAGAGGCTGCTATTTTATATATATATATATATACATAATATATATATATATATAGCATATGTTCTTTAACAAATTGTGTGTCCCTCTGTGTAAGTGTATTTGTGCATGTGTGTGTGCTG